AGAAGAAGAAGAAGAAGAAGACTGGATCGCCATATTGTTCCAGCGATCGAGTCTTCTTCTTCTCAATTGCTTCCTGAGACACGCATGTTCACTTGTATTGGCAAAACCATTTGTATCAGCGCTTCACCCGAATGTCGTAAATTAAATTTGACCAGGTTTTTGAAGGACGTCAGAATTCATATTCTACCGATAATTATTTACTTTATGGCAGTGCCTGCTAAGACATTTAAAGGAAAACATCAGCAGTTAACTCCCCTATCCTGCTACTAAACGGACTATTATTTCGTCAAACTCACATATTGCTAATGCTCTTTCTAAGAGTATGCTATGCAGTGACACTTATGTTTGTAGAGCTGAGGCTTATTGAGTCGACATGACTGCGCCCATCCCACCTCAGGCGGTCGACAGCTAGGCGGTTGCCTGTTGCTGACATTCGGGGAGAGAGTGAGGTCGACTCTCAGCGTACTTCTTTCCTCACTAAAACAATTTGATGTGCTTGAAGTTATCACGGTGCGCTAAAAGCCGTGGCCCGGAGGGTTGCCAACTGACGGAATACCTTGGACCCCGCCGCCAGTCCAGTGTGTATGGAGTGTCTTACTGCGGACTGAGAGTCAGGCACAATGATTCCTTCTTAACGTGACCTTTATGGCGCTCCCAAACGGGAGTCTACCTAGCGAGGTGTGCTGTTGGTACGCGTGTTGAGTGTTGGTCGCGCCAGCCACCTGCGCCCTCCCCATATCCGGTCTCCTCGACTTTTGTCTTGACACGGTTTCCGGGGTGGGAGTGGTGAGAAAGTGGGGAAGATTCTCCGCAAGTCTACTTTCAGCATGGTCCCGTGGGATTCACTGCGTTGCCTTAGCATGCTGAGGTTCGTGGTGGACATCGTCGAGAGCGGCGGTTGAACTGTCGTCGGGTCGACAGGCATTGATCTCGAGGATCTAATTCCGACCTGCAGGTTCAAAATCAGGCGTTGTTAAAGGTACTTTATTCCGACGTTTTGGCTGATCAAGTCTGTGTAGATAGCATGTTTGCGACTAACGTTCAGTCAGTCAGCTTCAACTCCGCTCGCTTTTGTTTATTTACTAGGTGAAAGCCAGCATTTTTCGGAGGATCTGAAGCATGCAGGGAACGACGCTGGTTGTGGTTCGCGGAGCGGATCCAGAGATCACAGCATTCATCTGGTGGAGTTCCCTGAGGAGGTCTTCGCCTCGCCTCCGAAACGCAGTCGACCATCTGTTCCCCACTTTTCTCAGCCAATGTCCACGACAGAGAACTTCCACTTCTCACCCGAACGCTCAGGCACTCCTGTGGCGTATCAGCACAGTTGCTCGGAACCAACGTCTTCTTCTTCCGGATCAGTCGTGATGCCACCTCATCAAAGCATGAGTAACACTCAGCCGATGGTACAAAATGGAGTTGAGGGAAAATACCTGAACGAGTTGCCCGATCTCAATGGAACCCCATCGGAGCTAGCATCACGCCTTCGTCGAAATCTTTGGCTCGCAACGGAATATGACTGGACAACAGTGCCTTCCAAAACAACCGAATGTAAGATTTATCTTTGACCGACACGATACTTGCGCCTGCCTTTAAAGGATAAACTCTTCCAACAAACGTCTTGTTTATCAAATATTTCGTTTTCATTTAGATCAGCTCTATTAACTAGCAACAAAAATGACCGGGAATCAGGCGCTTTTGCTGTTTGCCTGAAAGTGATCCTGTGATACCATTTTCTGCGGACTAGAATTGGGCCCTGTATGCCCTTTTGATTAGCTAGAACAGCTCCGAATTGCTAATAGTCCGAAGATTAATATTAGCACGGAAAGACAACAATATCAACAAGGATAAAAAAGGACTTGAATGACCATTTCTTCCTTATAAATAGTCAGCAGTCAGTCACACTGAAGCAGCAGTCAGTCAGTCAGCAGCATCTGAAGCTCGAACTCACGATCTTTTGATTATAATTCCAGCGCCCTAGCCATCGAGACTCGGGCTCGTTGTCCTGTTGGGTTCGGTCAGTCATGTCAACCGTGAGGGTGCGGTGCTCAATAATCGCCTCGCAGAACATACTTATTCCTTGTGTTTTGGAGCTCACTCTTGAATCCTACCAGCAGCCGCTCAACTGCTTTTATAGTTAGAGGGAGAGAGAAAAATGCTTTATTTTGGAGGTAATATCCAACATTCTCAGCGAAAAATGGCTCCATTCACGGAGAGCAAGTGATAAAGTAAGACAAAATATAAGTTAACATGTCATAGAACACTCAAAGTTAAGGTTTACATGTTATCCACATCTGTTATGGAGACATGTCGGCTTTCAACTTCTCCATTTCCGTTTCTTCACACGTGAGGTAACGTGCTAGGAATGGGAGTACAGAGTGCCGATATGCCGTTATACGGCATGACATATGAAGGACACTTAGGCTCATAGTACGGGTAGACTTTGCAGTCATTAATTCAGAGTGAAGGGGGTGAGCGACCTCACTAAGGATGCGATCAGCAAATTTCTTGACCGTTTTAAGGTGTCAGCTAAAGAATA